GATGCTTCCGATAAACTGGCCACAACCAAACTTGCTTGCAAACCTTCCTCCACAACAATCCACCCCCTTGATAATCGACCAATCATATTCACTTTATTTACTCATGTAAAGTCGGGCACCACTCGGGAGAACTCCAAATGCAACAGTCGGAACAGTCGCTTCCCTAAGACTTTAAAAAACTAGTTTCAGAAAGAAGACATGAACTCTCTAGCTGTTCTGCTGTCACAGGTCTCAAACACTACTTTTCTTCATCATCACAGCACTTTAAATCAGCTACAGCTGAAAACAAAGTGCTGAACATAGCTAAAAATAATAAAACACAATAAAAAGGATGAAATACAGCATAAAAATATAAAATAAGGGAATAATAAGAAAGCAAAATAAACATCATAACATTTCTAATCCACTATTTTCTCCAGGCTCCCAGCAACAGCTGCATATTTTGCAAATATAGCTGCTAATGACTTCAATACCCATTTGCCATCACTTTATCCATCAGATTCCAGCCATACAGAACAGCAGATTCACATTCATAAAAAGCCGGGATCTACTGGATGTTTGTTCCCCTTAAAAATATTTATTCCTTCCAACCATCACCACATGCTTGGTCCAGATCAGCAGTTTACTGCAATGTCAAGAATTCAATGTAGGAGGATGAACTTCCACAGGAACATTTTCACCATTTTAACTAGTAAAGATATTTAAAAAATAATCCTAATTCAATATCTAATTAAAATGTAAAAAATGTTTGCCGTGAAAAGAGGCAGTGGGTTTGATTTAAAAGCACATAAAAGAGACAAGTGAGGAGCTGCAGAGCAGAAAAACAGACAAAGATAGGTCAACAGAATGGACAGAAAAAGCAATGGACGGAAAAATCAGCAGGAAGCCATGCTAGTTGAAAACCTAGGTGACAGGATTTTCTCCACACTGAAGGCCGAGGCTGCCAGACCCCGCAATATACCTGGAAGAACCCGACTTCCTTAAATGGAAGATGCTAGTTATCTTAGCACACACACAGGCTAATACATGATCAGCAGACAGGCTGTGTGGTTTCAGTTTCAGCTTCAGCTTAATCTCAGCAATGGAAAAAAGTGGGCTCCAGGTCAAAGTAGAAAATAAAAACTGAGAATTGATTTAATTTAATTCAATTTTACATGTCAGCTTAATTTCAACAACTATTTTACTCAATGCCAAACTAAGGGACTGGCAGACTGCCAAAAAAAAAAGCAGCAAACAGCCTATTTAAACCATGGTGATAATAACAGTACATGACTATTTATTGGTATAATATTGGGATCACATTCACAGAATATGTTTGGCATAGATCATGATCAGTACCTTCTTATTGAAGGACCAGATCTTGTCCCACTCCATGTTCACCACTGACCTCGACCCGCCCTGAAACGGACAAACGAAGAAAAACAAAAAAATTTTCATTCATTTGTTCATTTGACAATTTTAAAGGGTATAAAAACCTCCACTGATCTCTAAAATAAGATGTTGTTTAATAAGACAGGAGGGCTTCACAGCTGTATACTGTGACACTGCTTCTACAAACTGGAGATCTTAATTTCAAACCTTGTTCAATGCCTTCAGAAATGTTTTGGTCCTTTGCTATAATCTGGTTTTATGAAGTTTGATGAAGCACATTCCTCCTTCATAAACAGTAGGGACGTACCTGGGCCGCTATGAACTGTTTCAAGCCCTCCACGGTCATTCCTCTCCTCAACACTCCTCTCACTGTAGGGAAGCGAGGATCGTCCCTGTCAAACATGACGGCACAAAGGTCAAAAATCACTAAAGCTACAAGTGGGAAACGCAGCACAAAGCTGCACATGAAGATGACTCACCATCCATCCACATATCCCTCATTGACAAACCAGGTGAGTTTCCGTTTTGACAGCACTGTGTTGTTAAGGTTGAGTCTGGCGTACTCCCAGATATAAGGTTTTCTGATGCCAAGAGCTTCGATTATCCAGTAAAACTGCTCGTCCCGATCATGGTACTCTGTGGTCCTGAGAGCATGAGTTACCCCCTCCAAGCTGTCCACGATGGGGCAGGCAAAGTCGTACGTTGGGTAGACTCTGGAGGAAAGGGGGAATTGGAGAAACTAATTGGTGAATATTGGGAAATTGTCAAGATTAAAACAAAAATCTTTAAAAAAAATTTAAAAAGCTGCTTTTGAACTAATTAACTCAAAGTTGATGAGAAGTTTAACATGATCGTTAGATTTGACACATTTACTGGGTCCCTAAGGGAGGCAATTGGGAAATGAAAAGAGATTGAGTTCTTCATATGCTTTAAAAAATTGGAGAAGCAAGCACAGCATAATGCTGCCACCACCATGCTTCAGCCCAGAGATTAGAATAAAAACAATAACAAAAATGTCAGATTACATGGGGTTCTGTTCAGAAGCTAGAGTAAAGCTAGTAAAGCTAGTTCTGTAATACCAAGTCATAAAAAGTCTAAATTAATGTCTAATTAACCTTTTATTTCCACATAGTAAGTCAGGGGTAACCAGTTAAAAATCAGCGGGGTCCGAATAAAGAAAATCAACAACTAGTAAAGGTCCGGAGACATTTTTAATTATAATCTGTTACCTTAAACAGAGTTTACTACTGAAAGACTGAAGCGTCTTCTCCTTCTTTCCCATCGCCCGGCTTGCCACAGGTTTGCCTGCTGTGTCTAAAAGTAGCAGCAGCAGCAACCCAGACTGACAGCAGCTCATTGGATAATTTTTATCACAGGCAGCCTGGAGCCGGATGCTCTGGACGGCTTTACCGTATTGACAGGAGAAGCGGTGCAAGTGAAGTTAGACACCGTCGTCGAACAACATGTGGTAATTTATAAATGTTTTAAATCAGGTTGGTCCGGATCCGGACCGCGGTCCACTAATCCGTGACCTCTGCAGTAAGTGATGCAGACAGGTTTTAAAAATGTAACTTTAACTTAACGCAAAGAAAAGCCCCATTATTTTTTTTTTTTTTTAGCATCTTGCAATTTTTTTTTTTTTGAAAGAATGCAAAAGCAGGTGAAAAGTAAAATTGATTCCTTGAGATAAAGAACAGTACTTGTAGGCGGCTCCAGTGCGAGGGTGGGGGGCGTTCTTGCAGCGGTAGAGGGTGGGGTCTCTCATGCAGCCATTGTTGGAGCTCATGTCCATCTTGGCTCTCATGCAGCAGGTCTGACCGTACTCGGTCCCCGCTTTCATCTCGGCCCACATCTTCATGTTCTGCTCCACAGCTGCGGAGGCAGATGAATGTTAGTTTGGGAACAGAGGCGCTTGAGTTTAACAAAGCAGCATTTCTGCATTTCAATCATCTTACTGTTGTTCCTGCATCTGGACTCGATGCGCTGCTCCCTCTCCTGCTTCATCTGCTCAGGAGGGGTGTCGTCGATGTAGGCTTTGCCCTCAGCCAGGAGCTTCTCTGCCAGTCGCATGATGGTGGGGAAATGGTCGCTGGTGTATGTGAACTGATCCGGCTGAATCTGTAGCATGGCGACATCCTCCAGAATGACCTGAGGCGAAGAATCGACAATTAGAGCAAAGAAATAACTTCCCTGGAATGTTCTACTTTTCTAGGATGCGCACTTCCATAGAGGACAGCTCTTAACTACGGTGTACATTTTAGGACATTCTCAGTTCTCAGAAAATAAGTTATGTGTCAGAAAAAGACCCATCAGCTCTCCGGTCCGAGGAATACGTTCATAAAGTCTTACGTCTCAGGAAAGGGGTGGAGCTCTTTTTTAAATTCAGTGAAATCTTCACCAAAGTCACTGATATTTGAGTTGAACAAAGTCACAATCTTGCTTTAAAACATCATAAAATGGTGGAGTGTTGGCGTACTGGCTGGAGCAGTGCGCTTGTGTTCTGAGAAGGTTGGAAGTACCTGGTTCGATCCCCACCGCCTGTGTTCCTAAGCAAGACCCTTAACGCCAATTTATGCTTCTGACGCATAGCCTCGGCAACCGTCAAATCTGTCTCTGTGCGCGACCACGCCCCCCGCTGCGACCGTGTTCGCACACCTCAAAATAATCCTGCTTACGTCGGGCGGTCGCAAACCCGTGCAGAGCCTGAGTTGTGATTGGTCCTCGGTATGCCTTTCCGGCTGTCTGTGTGGTCGTTCTTTTCGATTTGGTGCCTTGTCGAAACTCCCCAGTCTCTTCCCTGGTCTGATTTAAGGGCCGTACACACAACCTACGTTTCCTCTTTTGTCTTTTTGCCAACTGCATTAACAGAACCTGTTTCTCTTCGATGTTTAGCAACTCTAGATCCATCTCTGTGACCGTGATATCTTCCAGATGCGCCATTGTTGTTTTGGAAAATAAACACTCCCGCACAGTTTGCTTTAACAATCTGCTCTGACCCGCAATGAATCATGGGAAATGGTAGGCCAAGAAGGATACTCCGGACGCAGCTTTTAAATCAATACAAGAAGAACACCTTTGGTCTACAAACCTAAAATAAAATTTTAAGGTGTTTTTAATAAATAACGTAGATTAGTTAATCTAAAATATTTGCTTGGTTGGTGAAGATTGGACAATATTTAAGAAAGGAGCTCTGTTGTTTTCCTGAAACCCCTGACCTTATACGTTTATTCCTAAGATCTGGGACCTGATAAGTTTTTTCTTGAGACATAGGGATGCCCTAAATTCACCAAAAAAAAAAGGGGGAAATTAAATGTTTTCTAAGCCAATAAAACAAAACAACAGATCATACAAACAGTGAGTCGACAGTCAGACCATTGAGGAGGTTCCTGGTGTTTATCGGTTAAGAAAAATAATTCCTCTTTTCATTTGAATTTTATTTTATGCATATCTCAGTCAGTCTCTGCTTTCATCGAGTAACTTAATAAATCAGATCCAACATTTTTATGAGTAAAATGAAAGTTTAAAGCAGATTGTGTATTAGTATTGCACCATTAAGATGGACTAATAAAATACAGGTAGAACAACAGAATGACAGATATATTTACTGCATCCCACTGATTTAATCATAAATAAAACAGATCCTCTGCGAAAAAGTTAGACTTTTAGCTGCTTTAACACCCAAACACTAGCCTGCTATAAGAAGCAGGCTTTTCTGGTGACCTTCTCTTTGAGAGTTGGACTGCTGCTCAGAAATAATCATACAAAAAGCTCTGATTTTACAGCCTCATGAATAGGGTAGGGAATTGATTTTCACGATTCCAATTTTCTTATTGACTCTGTGAAACGTTTCGAGTCCTTACCGATTCTCTTATCGATTCTGTGAAACAATGAACTTGGTAAGTGCATGGTGACATTCGTCTACCTTCACCTGTGACATTCTATTTCTGCTTGCCTCAGCGAAAACAGAAGGCAATGAGCGGGAGCTGCCAGCCTCTGAACCAGCCAGACTACCAGTCTCTTCACAGTCATCTAAATCTAATGCAGAAGGCATCCGTTTCATTAAAAAGCATTACTGTACAATTTCGGGAAATAAACTCATCTCCCCCTGATTTAAAGAAACGAGCGTCACCTTTCTCTCTCGCTCCCTGAACTGTGAAGCAACTTGGTAGCAGGTTTAATAACCCCAAAGAGAGGTAGGAAATTGGTTTATTTCCAGAAATGGCATATGATTCACTAGGAACCACCTTAAGCACAGCCAGTGATATAAAACTAGCTACCTACAACCATAGTTTCCTTCCACGCTGGTCGTAACTTTAGCTTCTGTCCAGAACCATTAAAAACATGGCATTCGTTAAAATGTATGCCATGTTGTGTGTGCAGGTGTTTCTGCATGTTGGATTCATTTCCTCCCGCAGATGTTATTACTACTTTTCAATGATTGCAAAGCGGCGACTTAAATGAAGCCAATCTTTCGATCACTTTGAGCGCTTTTGTTTTCCTTTTCTAGACTTACCCCTGGTCACGCTGTACTTGCTTACTGAATGGCGTGTGCATAACTTGCATAAAAAACGTGACCTAAGATGTGCTGCCCAGCGCCCTAGGCTCTGGTGCTGCCTGGAATCGATAAGAGAACAGTTAAGCGAGCTGCCAAATGGTGCCATGGAACTGGAACACACTGAAACAGTTCTGAACAGGAACCGGTTTTTGATTCCCATCCCTACTCATGATTGATCTTAATATTTATAAATTCTGATAGTACCAGACCTTCTCAAAGTCCTCCTTCTCCTTCTCAGGGTTGGTGTCGTCAAAGCGCATGATGAGCTTCCCTTTAAACGTCACCTGGTAATGCTGGTTGAGCAGGGCAGCTTTGGCGTGGCCGATGTGCAGGTATCTGCTCACAGAGACGGACCGAGTGAGGAGCTGTGCAAATCTAACTTATGTGGAGCCAAACACATCAAAACGCAGCCGTACCCGCTGGCCTCAGGAGGGAATCGAACTACCACCTTGCCTATCTCAGCTCCAGGCAAATCCACAAACTTCCCAACATCCTGCTTCTTCTCCCCCGACTAAAACACACATGGAAAGCAACGTCATTAAAGATGAATTAAAGGATAAAACGATAAACACCACTGAAATAGAGGAGATTGAAAAACTTACAGTGGTATTGTTCTTTTCAGATTTCTTGCTAGCATACTTGTTTCCCACAGCTGAGAAGGGAACCTGGGAGTTCAGGAAGAAGAACCAGCGGCTGACGTGAGGGAAAGATTTACTCTGGCTTGTCCAATCACTATGAGCTGTAGAGAGAGGAAATGCTGTGAGGCTGCAGCCTACACATCAGATACAGGATGCACAAAGTGCAAACTGACAACAAATTGGGGAAACCGAGCTGTTAGTTACTTTTCAGGGCAGCCCACACAGACAAATCAGCCAGGGTGAGGGCATGTCCAACCAGGAAGGTCCGCAGAGAGAGGGCCTTGTCCAAGTCTGCCAGGGCCAACGTCAGATCGGGTTGATCGCACAGACGGCGAGCGCTGAACTCCAACCAGTGGTCCACCTAAAGCCACCATCACATTAAAGATGGCCAATCCAATCAGAAGCCAGTTTGAATATACGCACCTCAGTCTGCTCCATCATATTGGCGCCGTAGAGGCCGAAAGCGGGAGCCACCCGGGCCAGGTAGCGGCTGATGGAGTTAGCATCGCTGAACTGGATGGAACTGGTAGCAGAGGAAGAAACGTTAATCATGTCCCTGTTCACATAAAGCACTTAAAAAAATACAATTTAGAACACGTTGCACATTTTCACATTAAGACAAAATTTTAAAAGACCTATTTCAGTGTACTTTATTGTGAACGACCAACAAATGGTCACAAGTAGTGGGAGGGAAAGAATGCAAAGTTCTAATGCTACGTTCACATCGAACCAAACCTGAGCAGCAAAAAAGCTTTTTTGATGCTTGTCGCATTAAGGTCAGACGCAACTCAACAGCATCTTTCACTGTAGCGCATCCAGTAAAGTTTTATGATGCGTCTGCTGCTCCTGTGTTCAGAAGCAGAGAGCGACTTTTCTATATATTTGCTGTGATCAGTGGGTTAAAAGTAGTTTAAATACGTTTTAAAGTGAGAAAGTCCACCTGAAAACATCGTCTGTGCAGTCACAGGTTTACACAGGAATGAGTAGCTCTAATTTAATGCTCTTTTGATGCTCTTAGAAATAATTCTAATGCCATCAACAAGTACCCATGACTCTCATATAGAGAATATAAAAGACAGCAAAATCCATTGTCATCTTTACCATCGACAAGCTGCAGCCATGTCCAGAATTCCTCGTTTTCCAGCCGCTTTTGTTGACATTTGCATTTTCCCATTCTCTGGCTTTTTCTCCGCCTCGAGCTTCTTTTCCAAACGTACGGCTTTACGATCAACCGGAAGCTGCTCTGTCGGAGCTGCTCAGACCCCCACATAGCGGCGGTGTGCTGTAACTGGGGAAACCCTCTTGGGGGTTTTGCCCTACTGTTCATGGCGGCTGGAAGTAGATTTAGCGTTTTTCATGCAAGCATTCCAAACTGCAGGCACCAGCAGGATAAAAGCGAACATATTTTCCCGGCAGGTTTCTACATTTTAAGTTAATTTATGCGTTAATTAACTGTTTCAGAGAAGTGATCAGAGCGCTCTGCATCAGCAGTGCTGTGTCAGTCTCCCTGCCAGCTCCCAGATCAGCTTCTCTGATTGGTTGCAGCAAAAGATCACATTTCTCCAGCATCTGCTGCTTGTGAAGAGGGTCATGCACCTCAGATGCTCAGAAGCTCATGAGGCGCTGCTTCTGCTGCTCAGATGTGTCAAGATGCGCTGCTCCTGATGTGCTGCAGCTTTTTATGTGCCTTGATGCTCGTAAACCAGAGACTTTACATGTAAACCAGCTGCATCTGCTGCTCTAAAAGTGTTCGGTACAAACGTAGCATTAGATTCTTTTTCTTTTTTTTTTTTATAAATAAAAATCAAGAAACGGGGAGATGAATGCGTATCCAAGCCCCCATAGTCTGGCCTTCGATGGGGTTTCCCTCATACAATAAGGACTTCTCTTGTAGATCCATCCTGCTGAAAGTGGATCCTTTGTCCTGGTCTGAAATCTTTTTCAGACTCCAACAGGCTTCCTTCTAAAATTATCCATCATTTAGCTCCACCCATCACCCCCTAAAAGCTTTCCCACCCCTGAGAAAGAACACATCTCAATGGCTATGCTTTCACCAGCATGTGCTTAGGCGAACATGCAGCTTTATTTTTACCACCACTCACAGTAGTCTGCATGTAAACCAATTTAGTTTTCATCTGGTCAATGTTGTGCCAAACCCTTTCTATTTTTGGATGCTAGCTTAAACCGTTTTGAGTTATTCACCCTTTGGTTTTTAGAAAACAAACTGACCTGACTGGTTTGTACTTTGATCATAACGTTACAATTGTTTACAAACATTATCTAATAAATCTCTGGATCGTTTGATTCATTTCGAGAATAAATTACACACTGGAGAATCCCATTTACGATCCACATCTCTGCTTATTTGTAAAAACATTGAAATTATGCAGAGTTTTTTTTCTCCTCTTCAGAATAATGTGGTACCCTGTTGATCTAACATGAAAATCTGAAGAAATTGATTGTTGGTAGTGGTTGTTCAGGGTGAAAGGTAAGGCCAGGCGATTGGACGAATCTATCGCCCATCAATGACAGACTCAGTCCTACAACAATGGTTGTGATTTTTTTTGTGATTTTTTTGTGATTTGTGATTTTTTTTTTCTTTTTTGGACCTCAGGAAGGGGAACCCAAAATGCTCAAAAAGCCATATTGGAACAAAAACTAAATCTGTCTAGAGCTGCAAAAATGTAAAAGTCCTCTATCAGCCTCGTATGGCAACACAGGCTCCAAGTGTTTTATCCCACTATAAAAAAAGGACTATGTGGCCTTAAATATATAATAAACATTCATGATTAAATGTTTATCCTGGGCAGATGTCACATAGCAG